GGGGTACCCCTAATAATACTAGCTAGGTTTATGGTTTAGGGTTCAAGTATTCAGGACTGTTAAGACCGTAGGGTTAATGCACGTGGTTGACGCAAGGACCTGCAATGCTTGCGGTTCGAGCTTGCGCCCAGTGCCCTGAACCCGGATTCGGGTATGGGTTGCCGACGAGGGGTCTTTGCAGCATGAAGAGTCCTATTAAGTACGACATTATGAGAACTGAACACGATTTCTGAAGAAACCTTTCAACCCTACATCCTAAGCCTTACAACTGCTATCATAAACTACAGCCCCATAGCCAAAAACAAAGCCCGAATCGGCACAATAATGCCTCAAACCTGCATCAAGGTATAAGCTCTATTCGCACTACTTCGAGTGGTGCGATTGAAGGATTCGAGCTTGGGCCTTTGGCATTGGAGGCTTTTGGGGCGAAAACCGGGTTCAGGGGGCTCAAAGTTGTAGCGCTATTGCGGATTGGAGGTGCAGCGCATAGGGGTTCAGCGCCGTGCCGCAGGGGCACCCTAAACTATCAACTTGACCTTTTATAAGCCCGTATAAACCTTTCAGCGCACCCATCCGAAAGCAGCGCCTCCAGGAAATCGTCCAAGCATGGCGCCTCGGGACCCTATAGGCAACACCAACCCGTCATTTTGGTGTACACAAGGAGCCAAATACCCCTGAATTAAGAAATAAGCGTATTAGAAAATCAGAAAATACTCCGTATTCACCTATCTTGGGATCTTGGGTTCTTATAGCCCTTTTTTGACACTTGCGCTCGGACAAGTCCAGGCCATACTGCTTAGTAGTGTTAAATATGGAGAGTAGATTCATCACCAATTCAATGACAACAGCTATACATTTATACTCATATAGGAGCTTACTTTGATAATGCTGCGCTATAGCTCCTAAGTATAGCCTTACAATACACAACCCCTGTCAGTACAGCGAGTCAGGTTTAGGGCTCATGGCGTAGAGTGGGGCATGGGCCGGTGGACTTAGATCACCGTTCCTGGGCTTCTCCAAGGGGCCGTCAAGGGCCGGAGGATTTCTTATGACAAGGGCCAAACAAGTAAGGAGCCCGACAATCAAATTAGGATTCCGGATTAAACCGCAAAGGACAACAGCTCATGCAGGCCAGGCTTCTTTAGAGACACTGCACGAAGCTTTTCAGCTACCAGAGTTCACAGTGGTGGTCAAACGAGCTATGTCGCAAAGCAAGCGCAGCAACGCCGGGCGAACAACAGGGGCGCACTCCCTCCTGCTGTCGAGGTTGGCGGAGCCGCACAGGCTGTTGGTGCACAGAGAGTAGTCGTGGTGGTGTGCGTCTATTCCCATCCATCACCACCACCACCACCAC